AGGTGGCCCCCCCCCGGTAAGGGTGAAAGGGGGTCCCCGGGGATCTGCGGCCTGGATGGAGGGGAAGCCAGGGCCCACAGCAGCTTATGGGGGGGCTCCGGCTGGGTGTGACCCCCCCACCACTGGGGGTCCCGACCCACGCACTGCCCCGGGCCAGGGGGAGCTTCCCCACGGGGAAACTGAGGCACGGGGCTACGAGGAGCCAGAGCCACGCAGCACCGGAGGCCCCCCGCCCTCCCCGTGCCCCCCAGCTGGCAGCAGCCCCGGCTGGGGGGGGCACAGGGCCCTGGGATAACACGGGGAGGGGTGAGGTTTTGGCAGTGAATAGCTGTGTGGGTGCTGGGCACAGCGGGGGGGTCTGTCCCCCCCATGGGACCCCACCGGCCGCTTCTGTCCCCCCCCCAGTAAAGCTGGGGCTGGGTAGGAGGGAGAAAGGGGCCGGGCTTGGCTAGAGGGGGGGGCTTTGCAGAGAGCCAGCCCCTCCCATGGCGCTGAGCACGGCAAGCTCATCACACCAGTGGGTGAGACTGCAGAGAGCCAGCCCCCCCGTGGTGCTGAGCACGGCGAGCTCATCACACCGGTGGGCGAGATGCCAGGGGCACAACCGCCCTCCTCCCCCCTCCACAGCCCCCCTGGCCAGGCTGGGGCAGGGGCGAGGGTGCTGGGGACCCCCCGGGGGGGCACTAGTAGACCCAGCTGACGGGCACCCACTGGGGCTGGGCGCGCAGGCGCTCCATGGCCTCCCGCAGCCGCCCGAAGGTGCGTTCCAGGTCGTCGTTGGTCAGGCTGAGGTCGAAGTAGTGGCCGTAACCGCGCTGGATCCGCCCGCTCTCCTCCACCGTCCGCTTGGCGTCGGCCTCCTGCCCCGCGCAAACCCTGCCTCAGTTTCCCCGTCGCTCCCCATGCCCCCCCCGCCACCTCTCACCCTGGGGAGGGGACCCACCGTGAGCTGCTTGGTGGCCACGCCACTCTCCAGCGCTGCCCGGTTCATGGCCCGCAGCGTCTCGGGGCCAGGGGCTTCGATGAAGACCACATATGGCACGAATTCAGCTGTTCTCAGCACCTTCACTGCCTGGGCCGGAGGGGACGGCGCTCAGCCCCGGGTGGGGGGCCAGCCCCGGCCACCCCCTTGGTGCGTGTCCCCCCCCGCGTCCCCTACCTGGGGGTTGACGTCCAGGATGCACATCTTGCCGGCCTCCACTACGGCGCGGATGGAGTCGATCTTGGTGCCATAGAGGTTGCCCTCGTACTCGCCGTGCTCCAGGTACCGCCCCGCCTTGATGTCCGCCTCCATCTCGCCCCGCGACACGAAGCGGTACCCGTGCCCGTCCTTCTCGCTCTCCTTCGGCTTCCGCGAGGTGTCTGCCCCGGGGACGGCCCATCTGAGTGCCACCCACCCGCCCCAGGGGTCCCACCCTGGGGGGCACCCACAGCCCACGGGGATGGCCATGGCGCTGTGACGCCGCACCCGCACGCCCGGGGGTGCGTTCTCCCGGCGCCGGGCAGGTTGGGCTGTGCCAGGAACAGTGACGCTCATGGGGGACAGGGATGCTGGTGGGGGACACGGATGCTGGCAGGGGACAGGGATGGTGGCAGGGGACAGGGATGGTAGTGGGGGACAGGGATGCTGGCGGGGGACAGGGATGGTGGCAAGGGACAGGGATGGTGGCGCGTGACCGGGATGGTGGTGAGGGATGGTGATGCTGGCAGGGGACAGCGATGCTCACAGGGACAGGGATGCTGGCAGGGGACACTCACAGGGGATGGTGGTGCCGTAGCGCGCCTGGTCCGACATGATGAGCTTGTTCTTGAGGCTGCGGCGCCCCACGCCCTGGGCGCCGATGAGCACCAGGGTTTTCCGGCGGAAGGGGGGCATGCGGGCCACCTCCTCGTAGATCAGCAGCTCGTGGCGGTCGAACTCTGGGTGAGGGACAGGGCTGTCACCCACAGTGGGACACCATGTCGGGTGCCACGGGGACCCCAGGGAACCCCGTCCCGTGAGGTGCCACCGCGAGCCTGCCATGGGCACGCCTGGAGACCGTCCCCCCTTCCCTGGGAGGACGCCAGCGGGGGACGCTCACCGGCGTTCTTTGTCGTCAGGTACATCATCCTCTTCTTCCTCTTCCCGCTGAGGCTGCCACACAAGGCCCCTGCCCAGGACACGGGGGCTGGCTGAGCTGGGGACGGGGACAGCGGCACGGGGACAGTGGCACGGGGACAGTGCCACAGGAGCTGGGACCTGCCACAGGGGCAGCACCATGGGGATGGGGACATCACCCGGGGAGTTGGGGACCTGCCGCAGCAACAGTGCCACAGGGATGGGGACATCGCCACGGGGCGCAGGGGACCCGCCGTGCTCCCGCTCGGGAGGTGACCACCCGTCCCCCCACCCCCCAGGCCACGTCCCCACCGCGGGCTGGGGGCTCCGTACCAGCCGCGGGGGCCACCTCCATGTCCCGCTTGACGAAGGCCTTGCGCTTCTCCTCCAGCAGCTGGCTGGGCACCAGCCCCGCGCTGCCCCCCTCCACGTGGCACGCCTGGGGGGACAGCGCCGCGCGTGGGGACCCCGGCCCCGCAGACCCCCTCCAGCCCCACAGGGACACACCCCCCCCGGCTCCCAGGGATGCTCCCCA